CCAGGGTAATCACCTTGCAACCTGATCAGAGAAGGATTCAGGGGTGTGGTGACGATGCCTCCACCTGCCTCCTGGGGCCCAGGGCCGTGCTGGATTAGGTCTCGAAGGCACAGATGCATAAGAATTAGTGCGAGGCTGTAGGTAGGGTCTGGAAGGAATACTTTTACAGTAGTAATCACCTCTGGACTCAAAGATATTACTGCCTTGGAAAGGGGTCATAATGTCCCAGCAAAGCACCAATTCCGCTAGATCTCAAGAAAACAAGTTCTGGAGGAAAGGATGAAAGCAAACAGATCCTGGTCACACTTGGGAAAATACTTAAATAATTAATTTTAAAGTATCAAAATAAAGAAATCATAATGTGCTCATTCCACATATTAGTGAGCGAGGGATTTAAATACATGACCTTTCTCTGTTAGGGCATTCAAATTAGAAAGGAAGATAAAGGGGAATTCAGTCTCTAGTCACAAAAATAACTGTAGGCCAAGAGGACCATTCTTTCTCACAGAATACTAGTGATTCACATAAAAACAGCCCCCTAAGACAGGGGGAGAAAACAAACTAGCATAGTTCCTCAATTAAGCCTGAGATTTAGTGATGTGTTCAACATCCCTGCTTCTTCCAAACACAGTCGCTCTGGCTTGGTACAAAAGATAATACAGTTAGGTTTTAAAATGTGACAAGTGTAGAAAGTAATTGATAATTCAGAAATAACCTTAAGATTTCCATTTAAAACTTCCTGTATTTTTTCATATTGACTTTTTTAGACATCAATCTCTAGGCATTAGCCTTAAAGAACTATCTCATTACTTCTCAAAATGATAATGAAAACAACCTCATCCAAAAAACCTCAACATTTGTGTTTTAATTTGTTGTTAACCACTTTGAGTAGGCAGATATCCATACAATAATATCAGTAGTTTTGGGCAAATACAAAGTTTTGAGCTAAATTTGAATTGGGGCTCTTAAGAACAAATGTCATCAAAACACTTAATTCATTAATTTCTCATAATATGTGAAAGCTGAAATAAAACATCTTCTAATATTTGCACTATTCATGCCATCTTTTAATTATTAATTTTTAATTTATGATTTTTAAACCCTCACCTGAAGATAGGTTTATTGATTTTTTTTATAGAGAGGGAAGGGAGAGAGAAAAACATCGATGTAAGGGAGAAACATCAATGGATTGCCTCCTGAACGTGCCCTGACTGGGGATCAAACCCACAACCTAGGTATGTGCCCTGACCTGGGATGAAACTCACAACCTTTTAGAGTGTGGGATGATGCTCCAACCAACTGGACCACCTGGCCAGGGGCCTGCTTGCTTTTAAACAACTATAATTTAGTAGCCTATGGAAAAAATGTTATACTATCTTCCATTTAGTCCTAAGTTGCTGTAAAAGTTCCAGATATCATTTGTATTTCAAAGACACTTTAGACCTTATTATTTAATATGGAAATAAACCTATTTACTTCCCAAGTAATTATTAAATTACAATGAACACTTGTCAGATCTTTTACAGTTTGTAAAATTATTTTCCCATTTGCTTTGGTCCTTGGGTTAACCCTATGAAAATGGTGTATTAATTTCCCATATTACAGATGAGGAAACTGAACATTAGAGGGAGTAAAGAATATTACTCAGGTAGTGAGTAAATGCTAAGTCAGAGGACAAGGACTGCTCATCTAACTCTAGAACTCATGCTTTTCCTATTACATGATGTTGGAGCCATCCGGAAGTGGAGTTATCAGGAAAGATTCGCAGTGGAAATTTTTGGAGAACTGAACAGGAACTATAAGACATTCTGAGGGAAAGTTTGCATAAATCTCAAAAGCAATAGAAGAAAGGCAAACTGTGAGCAGGACAATTATCAACCAATGGTACCAATATTCCTATAGAGTTTCCAAAGTGTTTCATATGCCACTTGTCTTTTGAATATTATAAAGTAATCCTTGAGACCAGGCTGATATAATTAGTCCTGCCTTACAAATGCAAATGGCTTAAAATTGACAGCTGAATTTGGAATCTGAGTCTACCATTCTTAGTTGTCTTCCACTGTTAAGAGCAGTATTGAAAATATGGCCTCCAGCTCAATACCAGAGCGTTACCGAAGCCTGCAGAGCAATCTCAAATGTCTTTCAGGCCTTGTGCATAGCGTTTTACTGTGTCAGCTCTCACCCATTTCTTCTTGAGTAAAACCGATTTATCAAGTCCTCAAACTTGTTGATGTTGTTTGTGTTACTACCAAGTTCCTTATCCACTGGAAGTTGAATTCATGGACATAGTTAAAAAGCAGTTTGTCTGCCTATGATAATCAATGTTTAGGAACCAAGGTGCTGTACACCTCAAACATGAATAATAGAAAAGGGCTTATATTAATCTTTTTCTACTATGTTCCTCCTCCATGTTTCAGGACCTCTCTTTGCTCTATGATCCCTCTGTGTTGCTAACCCAACTGCCCTCCCAATGCTCCTCACCTGAGGCCTCCCAATGCTCCTCACCTGAGACCTCTTAAGGTCTCAAGTTGATTTACTCCACTCTTTCCAGGAATGAACAATAATGGTTCTAGGAAAAATTGTGGTGGGAGGGTTTGAGAACAAGAGGACCCCTTATAGTAGACAGCACTGGAAAGGCACAGGCAATGCCAAGTTACCCAATGAGCACACATTTGCAATCAGAAAGTCTAAAGAAAGCTGACCTTTTTCCCTATACATCTCAATCTTGTAGTTTCCAACTTAATGTTGAATCCATACTGAAGTGTCCTTAGAAGGAAGGCACTCCTTCCAGAGGCCTTAATCTCTCTTGGCTAAGGACATGAAGGCACAGTTCTTAGTTATGTCATGGGAAAATTGGGAGTTGTCTGCGTGTATTTAACATTTTTTTCCAGCTGTTGTCAGGAAAGCAGCCCTCAAATTAATCTCTAGCATAGATGATTAAAAATAACAAGGAGAGGGATATAGTTGCACTTTGTAGGATATAATAAAATGCACATGCTGCTAAGTTGTGCAAGCCACAGGAACACTTCTCACAGGTGCTCCACTCGGCAGAGGTTTGCCTCCAAGTGCAATCCAAGGTGTTGACTTGATGCTTTAAGAGGCCCTCTCCTATACTCTGCACCTCAGGACCTGGAGATACCAATACGTAGCTGAGCCCAGTAGCAACCACACCATTGCCAACTCTGAAGTGTAGGGCACTGGAAGCTGGGTGTTTTTCTCATGGAAGGCTTTGCCTCTGGAATTTCCTGCCTATCCTAGTCCACCAGAATCCCACCTTACTGGTCTTCAGGGATACATGAAAGACTTCTTTTCAAAATAACCTTTACTGATGGGAAGAGACCTTAAGGGAATAGTGTCAAACTCATTTTCACCGAGGGCCGCATCAGCCTTGCAGTTGCCTTCAAAGGGCCGAATGTGATTTTAGGACTGTATAAATGTAACTACTCCTTAACTAGGGGGAAGGAGCTCCACATCTGGCCCTTTGAAAGCAACCATGAGGCTGATGTGACCCCTGGGTGAAAATGAGTTTGACACCCCTGCCTTAAGGCCATAATTTTGTAAAAGACAGCTTAACCTATTTATCATAGCTCATGTTCTTCTCGGTGATGATTTCATTTTGGTGCTTGGTTCCTGTAGCAATTTCAAATAGGATACATTTTTAAAATAAATATAACAAGAATTGTTTGTGCTTAGTAATGAGTCAGTGAGAATGTCTACCTGGATGTGAAGATATTTAGAATTCTAAAAATATAAAAATTACCAGTTAGATTAATGCTCCTTCTCACCTGGTAGCTCCGGTGTGCTGGTGCCTGCCACAACCCTAAATTCCAAGGCGAGTAATTAACCTGCTCCCTTTTGAAAGCTATAGGATGGTGTGCATGTGTGTTTGATCGCAAGCCCACCCTGGAGAGCAGCACTGGCTTTAGCTGGACACTAAAATATTTACTCTGGACGCTTATGCCAAGACATTAACAGCTGCTGGATTAATTATTAATGGAGTTAGTGTCAATCATCTAAGACAAAACCTAAAGAGTAATATTTTAAAATCATCTGCTCAAAAAAAAAACAAACCCCAAATTCTGCTAACACAGCTCTCTTGTACTTTATTACTTTTGCACTTCTCCAGCCAAAGTAATCTCAGAAAACTGCTCTTCGAAAATTATTTTTTCTTTCCCTTTAAATGTTTTCTTTCCAAGTGCCTAGGACTCTCCCTTTCAGAACTCAGCACCTTGGCTATGTTTGCACTGTTTTCAGAAGATGCCCTACATCAGGGTTAACCGAAGGCATGTTTTAGTGTTGAAAACTTAAACACGGGAAAAAAATCCGGAGGAGCAGGCGCCCCCACCCATGAGGCTTTCGATGCCAGTGAGGTGGCAGTGCCGTTAGCGCTGCGAGCCTTCCCGGCTCCGCCAAAAATGCCCAGGCTGCTCCTTGTGGTCCTCCTGCCGAAATCCGATTAAAGAGGAAAAACAAATAGGCTATCTCCAAGAAGAGAGTTTCACTCTGGCTTGACTAGTATTTGAAAGATCCGCCCCACTGCGCCTCTTCGTATCCTGGTTTTGGGACCTTTGCCATCGTCAAAAATTTTCCCCGGGGCCGGGGCCGCAGCCGGGAGGCAGAGGACCGCGAGGACCCCCGGTCGGGACGCAGCCTCCTCTCGCCGCTGTGCGCGCACGTCTGGAAAGGCGGGATTTAAAGGCGGCGATGCTGCGGGAGACTCCGCAGTGTCAAAGAGCCCCAGAACGATCTAGTCTTATTCACCGTAGTGTCTGTTCCTCGCAAGTTCCTGTCCGGTAAACCGTCACCAGCTTCGACGTGCGGGAGAGGCATTGGCTGGTCTGAACTCCGGGTGTCTCGGCCCGGGGAGAGGGCAGGGCGGGTTGCCGGGCTGGGCCGGGCGCAGCCCCCGCCGGGCGCGCGTAGCCGGCTGTCGGCACACGCCCCTCACCTGGGCGCCGGAGGGCGCGCAGGCGCTCAGTGCTGGGGCCGCGGTCCCGCACCACCACCTCGAGTCCTTTGGAGTAAGACTGTTCGAGACCGCTCCGTGCCGGGCAGTCGCCGACTCCGCTGCCGTCGCCTCCGCCACCTCCCGGGCTGCCGCAGATCGCGGGAGAGCGTCTGCGCGAAACCCCGGAGCGGCACCGGCGGGACCGCCGCAGCCGCCCGAACGCGAGCGACAGCTTCTGGGCTGGGCTGGAGGAACCCCTGCCCCACGCGCCAAAGGCCCGCGCACCAAGGTAAGCTGTGGGCGCCCAGCCCAGTCCAGTCCCGCGCCCCTGTTCCAGCGCCGCCTTCCCGCCCATTGCCTGCCCGCCTGGTGAGGGTGAGCGGGCACCTGGACGCGCCGCCCCAGGGAATGGCCTGAGCCCCCCTCCCGACGGAGTTTCCACTCTGTCCCTCCGTCCCACTTGTAGCGGAGGACGCCCAGCTGCCGCTTGCCGGAGCTGTGGGGTTCCTGTGAACCCTTGGAGTTAGGAGTAGGTCGTGGATGCCAGAGGAGTGGAGCAGTCCCCACTGTGGGCTCCTGGTCTCTGATTCCCAAGGACGGATGGAGAAGGGGAAAGGACAAGGAGAGTGCCCCTCTGTGGTTAGCCGCAGTGCCTCCGCCACCTGGACTAGGAACTTTGGGGCTGGGGATGTGTCTCTCGTCATTGTAGGGAAATAAATGGGTATTTGGGGTAAGAGGGTGTGGGAGGAAGGTAGTAGTCGACGTTTGGGGTCCTGAGAGAGCTCTGCTGCTGAATGAAGGTGAAATGGGGGCCGTGAGGCAGAAAGAATGTTCCCAAGTTTGCAGCTGCTGGGATCCCTGAGGGTGGTCTAGGCTACCCCAAGCTGGGTGAAGGTGTCCGCGCAGAATGGGAGGACGCTGTGGGACTGCGGAAGGGACAGGGAGAAGGGGAGGGGAGGACCATCTGTTTCGCCCCTGTCATTTGCGGGGGCAGGTGGGGAGAACTGGCAGGACGATGCTTCCCTGAATGCTTTCCTAGGCTCCGGAGGACAAACATTTTTTATGGTGAAGCCAGATGGGGAGTGTTGTGCTCCTTCAAGGAAAGTAAATTGCCATCGAGCCCCCTGCCTGGCCTCACGGGTACAAAAGATACACAGTTTTGGAATGCTCTCGGAAGTTCTTGGCTTAGCGAATGTTGTTTTCATTTTCTTGCGGAGATGTGGTGTGAAGTCCTTTTTGGTTTTGCCTTGCTCAGGAGCATCACACCAAGGTGAATGCAAACTTTGTTAAGATGTAGAAAAAGATGCTCAAAAAGAAGTAAAACATTTGTTTTATGGAGTCCAGCCTAAAGCTTGGAGACTGGCAGCTTCAGAACAATGCATGAAGCTGTAGGAAACGCATTTATCAAATTAAAAAGGAGGCTTTTCATAAAGTCAATAAGCTACATCTTAGATAAAGTTTAAAGTTTCGGCTTGGAAGAATTTCCTGAACTATTTCACGGCCCGATTTCTCCGGTTTTCAGAGTCCTTTCAGTTTATTTTGATGTCATACATGCATCGAGCATGGGCCACTCATTCCCTGTATTAGATAAATGTCCCGAGCGTGCAAATACTGCATTGTAAGTTCTGTTGTTGCTTGAGGGTTTTAAGGTGGGAAAATGTTTATTTGGTCAAAGTGTGTGTTGTAGTTAAGATTCTATATTCCCATAAATCAAGTATTTGTGGATTTGTAAAAGTGATTGGAGGAAGCTGGGAATGAAAACCACAAATCAAATAGCTATTCTTGTAGCTCTCCTTGACCTCTCATATTTGTAGTAAAATTTTTTGAGGTGAATTCTCCTAACAAAGGAAAAATTACTGCCTACTCCGGAGTCATCCTAGTGATATACATATTTTGCAGTATCATTCCTTATGTACTTCGTTTGCATTCTATTATTTTACATTACCTGAGTAATGATCTTTTTATAGCAGTTTAATAACCACTGAGAAGCATCTATAGAAAAAAATAATGTTGATATTTTACAGCATTTAGCCAATAAACAGATTCCCAGAGCAATAAGAGAACAGTGAACTTAATAATGTTTCCTTCCTCAACTGAGATAGAAAGGAAACCCAGGAAGGAGTCTTCTCTACAATTAAGCCGGAGAAGGAACTTGTCACCCAAACAGGGCCAGTTAGTCAGACCCGACGCCAGTCGGAGGATACCTTTATGAGTGTAATTATTATATGAGGAACTATCAAAGCACATCGAGTGTTCTCGGAATGTTTTTTCTTAGGCCAGTGACCTGGCTCAGACAGAAAATAAAATTCCTGCAAAACAAGCAACTCTAAAAGGGGAGACGTCTACATAGAATAATGCTGTGTGGGGCTTCTAACACACAGGAGAAAAGAATCTTAAATCCTTGAACTGCCCACCGCCCACTCTCAGGATTTTTTTTCCTCAAGCTGAACTTGAAGATATTATTGCTTGATTTTTAAACAACAATGTATATTTTAAAATACAAGCAATTAGTTTACTTCTCACCGGTGTGACTACTTTATTGCAAAAAATCTTCAAAAAATAATAAAAAGCAAAATTGGTTGTCTCCTGTTTCTATAAGATCCTGTGTCTTCAAACATTTAAAGAACAATGAGTGTGTCCCAATTTCCCACTGCTTTTTATTTGCTTCTGAGATTTTATTGTGGCACCCCTCACCCAACCCAGCATTTCACCATCTCTGTTTTGCCACCTCCCCACTCCTGTCTCTGTTCCCCATATGTCTCAATATGGTCTTGTTATTCTTCTGTTTCTTGTCCATTTCTAAATTCTGTGTATTCCTCTGGATCCTCTTAGCTCTATAGATGATTTTTTGTTGCTTTTTTTTGCGTGTTACTTTTCATTCCATGATGTCCTTTATGAGTGCTGGGTATTTCCTAAAGTAACATCTTTATCTCCACTTTCCTTCCTAAATTTCATGTTGACATTTTGAACCACCTACAAGATGGCTTTCTATCACTCCTCTCGGGTGCTTCAAATCTAACATGTCTAAACTCTAATCAACATCTTTCTCCTTCCATGAACAGGAGTGACTGTTAATTTCTGTATTTCTCCCAGTCACCCAGGACCTTCCCAATATCTTTGCTTTCCACCTATACTGCACAGGTAAATTCTAGACTCCATTCCCGCAATGTCTCATGATTCCTGATGCCTGCTTTTTAAAAAAATTATTTGTGATGTCTTTGTTCAGGCTCTTTAGAGACTACCAGGGTGTCTTCCTGACTAGTTTCCCATCTCCAGTCTCTCTCATTTCCAATCCATTTACATTTGGTTTGCAGAATAAGCTTCTTAAAGCAGAGCCAAGCTCAGTCACTGGCTAACAAACTTTCCCCCAGTGCCCTACCAAATGCCGTAAAAGTCTCTCCTCTGATGTTTAAAACCCATTGCAGTCCAGCCCCCAAGTAGCTGCACATGTTTTACTTTGATCTCATAGATTCATTGACTCATTTGTTAATTTATTCAATGGATATTTGAGTGCCTGCTTCATGCCAGACACAGATGTAGGTAATAATTATAGGAGTACCTGGGTATTGGCTCAGTGATAGGTTTCTAATTTTATTTTTCACTAGTGGAATCCACTGTTAAAATATAATCTCACATGGTTGAACTGGAGTCCCAGCAATCCCATCAGCCTTCCCTCCGTACAGTTAGTAGTCTCTGAAGCATCATCACAGAATCATGTGTCTGCGTGAAACAATTAAAAACACACAGCTCTAGGCTGAAGGCAATGTTCCTTGAACACACAGCAGGCCTCTGAGTTCTGCATCTTTGCTTGTGCTGTTCCCTCTGCCTGAAATAGGCCCTCCCACTTTCCCATAACCATTTCTGCCTCTCAGTCAGTGCAGTTGCTACATGCTTCCTGGTCTCCCTCCAAATTCAGTTTTTGCTCCTCCAAACCATTTTGCTTGACTTCCTCTTGGAACACAAGTCATGGTCCTCCTTACATATATGTGCTTTCTAAAGCATTCGCCCCTACAGGCGCCATGGCAACCATGCCTAACCTCAAGCACCCACTTCCCAAAACTCCCAGCTCAGGGGCTGTCCTAGTGTGGTGCATTAACAAATAATTTAATTAGGCAGACCGAATTCTACCTAGTTCTCTAGTACTGGTTTCTGCCTGTAATAGCTCTGTTTTAATTCCTCAATTTTGTTCTTATAGTAGAGCCAGGGCTTCTTAAATTTGTATACACGTCTTAATCTTGAAGAGATCTTATTAAAATGCAGGTTTTGGCTTAGCAGGTGGGGATGAGGCCCCCAGATGCTGCATTTCTAACAATTGCCAGGTGATGTTGAAATAGCTGATGCGCAGACTCCGCTGGGAGTGGCAGTGGTAGTAGATGATACAGGTTCCGGAGTTTCTGGCAGCCCCTGCCTCCCTGTCAGGTGATTTTCCTACAGTTTATGCTTTCGTATGACTTTCTATTTTGAAAGTACTTTAGGCTTTAGCATGCTTCCCAAAGCTGAACGGAAGGGTGGTGATTCTCTTATATTTTCCCTTGTTTTGCTGATGCAGCATTGCAGTGCCTCGTTCTCTCTGTATTGAATTTTTCTCGGGCCAGTTCTACTGTTTATTATGTATTCCTTCTCATTTACCTATCATTTGCAGATTATGGCCGTTCTGCTTTCTTATTCTGTTATGATTTTTTTCCTTTGCTCTCCCTGGTTCTTAAATTCTCTTTGGATGCCTTGGTCGACTTCTTGTCCCAGTTGTGTTCCTACTGCTTCCAAAATTGTTGTGAAAGGAGCACTGAAGTAGGGCACGGGAGACTCCAGCTCCCCTTCTGCCTTTACTGCCGTTGTGAGACATTGGAAGGGAACTTAAGGGGAAAAAGGGGGAGGGATTTTGAGGAACAAGTATGAAAGACACAGAGATGAGGACTGGGGGGGGGGGAATGGGAGGGAGGGGGGAGACCGGGTGGGGGGGGAGAGAAAAAAAATGTACTTGAAAAGTAACTAAATAAAAAAAAAAAAAAAAAAAGCTGTTTCTGTCCTGGGCTCCTCACTCCTGGCTGCAGGGTGTGAGTTACACCATTTCCTGGGTCTGTTTCAGCACGAAGATGCCCTGTGGGAGCTTCCTGTGAGGCAGGAGCAGGTTGGGGGGAAACAAGGATGGTCTGTTGATGTCGGTGTAGATACCTGTCCCCATCTAGTATTTCTGTTCTAAATAAGCAATTTGAGTTTTTGTTGTTCTTGCACTACTTAGAAAAGGATTCATATATTTTTAATTTAATTTTTATTGTATTTTTCCCCATT